ATTAATCCAACAGTCTGCAGTAGGTTATTGTATGGAATCTACTGGTGTTTGTTTTAAGAAAAACCTATTAACTCAGTGCTGCAGTTATTAAAAGGTGTCAGGCCTGTTTCATTGTCTTCACTTTAAAAGAAAATGCTTAAATAAAAACAGTTTCAGTGAAACCGTTTTTAAAGTTCTGTACTATAACAAAAAAACCCTAAACTAGTATAAAAAAAAAACATAAAGGCTCCAGGACAGATTCAGAGCAGAGGTCTGGTTTACCTGTTAACTGATGTCAGATGATCCTCTTTGTCTCTCTGGTCCCGACTCAGTTACTCCCTGTGCGCTCAGAAAGCCTTGTTCCTCCAGTCAGTCCAGACTGACTTGTACAATCCCACTGGGGAGTTAAGTTGCTCCTCTGGCCAGACTGAGGTCCTCCTCTTTAATTCTGATCTCTGGAGCCACAGGTGTTTATGTAGGTGTGTGTGTGTGTGTATAAGTGGGTGTGTGCTCACACTGAGTACTTTGCTGTGTCAGGATCAGCTCTGGGTCCTCCTTCCTCAGCGTCCGTTGGCCAATATCACTCACCCTGCTCCCTTTGTAGCACTTTATGCAAATGTATTCAGACAGTGTGTCGGCCTTGAGGTGGTTTGTGGGGCAAGAAGGATGTGGTAGGAAGTCTCTCAACAGCACCACCACCCCTCTTTCTTTGTTGATGTTATTTTTCCTGCTTACTTTTCCTACCTGTTTTCAATGTTTCCTGACCTTCACACACACACACACACACACACACACACACACACAATGCAAATACCTTTAACCTCCAGCACAGTATTCAAACACACACGGTGTAATAGATCCATCGACTGGCAGCTGAGTTTCCTCTCTTCCCAACAGTACATCACGTTGCCACCTTTTTCCCCTAGAATGATGAAGTACAAACTAAATAAGACAAAGGCCAGACATTACACACAAACCATGTAGCCTTCTCATCAAACGGTGTGTTTAAATTGCACAGTGGATATAAAGGTTTCATTTCCATGCAGTCAGTGATAAGGTAACAGGTGGTGATACAGGACTGTGTTCCCACTGGAGCGTTTTGTGTGAATACCTCTTGTCTCTTACTGTAGTGCAGTGTTGCTGGTCAGCATGACACAGCTCTGGCCAGCTTATTCCCAGAATGTTAAACCAGAGTACTGCCATGACACAGCTCTGGCCAGCTTGTTCCCAGAATGTTAAACCAGAGTACTGCCTTTGTAACGCATGTTTGTGTATTTTTAAACTTGCCCAGCTATGTTTGTCCAGGCAAAGATTTCTTGTAATGTCAACAAATAATTTTCAGTTTGGTCCTTGAGGAAAAGCTCACCTTTAAAATAAAAAAAGCTTAGAGAGATTAGAAAGGCACATTTTCTTTAAATCAGCAGCCCAAAGACTTTAGTAAACATTCCCTTAATATTTAATTCAGGAAATAAACATAACAATAACAAACGTACATTCAGCTGGAAGAGGCCCGTGCTTATCAAGATGACTTGAAGTATGTGTGTAGAGGTTTTAACTTGATTACTCACTGTATTTTATAGTAATGACTAATGGCTCCAGGCCATGAGCAATAGCATGTCTCGGCAATAACAACTTACTCGGTTATTTAGTAACCCAAAATGCTGCCGTATCATATCAACAGTCATTTACTGGGAGCGGAGTTGGGAGTTCTTTGAAGGAAGGAAAAGCTTTATAATAAAAAGCTGTGTCATCCTCCTGCTGGAAATCCAGAGCCTTGGTTTCATTATAAACATGTCACAGATTTAGAGGTCGGTCAGGTGACGGTAATAAGCCATCTTGCTGGATAGAGGGTTGGATGGAGCTGCTGCTGAGGTCGGGGAGGGAGACACTTGAGCAGGAAGCAGCTCAGTTGTGTGTTTGATGCAGCCTCTTCATTATGAGATCTACACTAGAGGGGTCCACAGTGGATCTGTTTCTAGCAGCTTGGTTACAGGTTTAGCTTCTGCAGTGTATTTTAGAAAGGCTTACAGTTTGAAATCTGCTGGAAGGTCACTTATCGTTTCTTCTGCAAATAAAAAGTTGAATTCAGAAGCAGTTAAACACACCCCTGCTCAAACCAAAACACTCCATAGGACTTTGGGGTGAAACTCAAGTGTCAGAGTCAAATATTAATTCATTTGTTGCTGAATCCAAAATACTAAATGTCAAACATGGGGGAATCTGTCCATTGTCTTTGTACAACATTTTGCTTTGAGCTTTAGTTTCTGGCCCCTTGTAGCGTTCTGTGTCTCACGTGTTCCAATGACCCAAATCCCAGCTGGTTGGTCACATGACCTCATTTGTTAAGGTCAGGTTAAAGCAGACTTTTTCTTCACGCTTTGTGATTTTTGTGTGGTGTCTCTTTCAGCCCTGTGCGTGTGCTTTTGTGTGGTTTCTCTTTCAGCCCTGTGCGTGTGTGTGTGTGTGTGTGTGTGTGTGTGTCTCTTGCAGCTATGTATTTAGCTCAACCGTCAACCACGATGCTGCACTACTGGTTCTCAGCTGGAAATGTAAATCAGACTGGCTCTACCTTCAGTTTGAATTGAGAGCTGGAGACACGGCCGTTGCAAACACTTTAACTGAAGCAAACTGCACGGGTGTAAACACGGCAGACAATGCCAGTGACTGTAAAGAGAGACTTGAGAATCCTGACTATACTGTACATAAATGTAGTCCTGAAATGTAACGACAGACTGGTACAGCTACTACTGCTGTTATCCACCTGGTGATGGATGTAATCCATCTGCACCGTCACATTTAGAATTCTTTAAATCCTGAGTCAAGTCTAGAGGACAAAATCAGGGAGATAACCCACTTATTCCAGATTAATCCAACAGTCTGCAGTAGGTTATTGTATGGAATCTACTGGTGTTTGTTTTAAGAAAAACCTATTAACTCAGTGCTGCAGTTATTAAAAGGTGTCAGGCCTGTTTCATTGTCTTCACTTTAAAAGAAAATGCTTAAATAAAAACAGTTTCAGTGAAACCGTTTTTAAAGTTCTGTACTATAATAGTAAACTACAAACTGGTACAAAAAGTGGAAAGGCTCCAGTGGAGGTTCAGGTTTCCCATTAACCGAAGAAAGGCAAATGACACAGGACGTTATCGTGCAGGATGGAGGGTTGGATGGAGCTGCTGCTAAGGCTGGGCTGGGATACATGTTTTGCAGGGAAACTATGTGCACACAGGATATAAAATGAAATGAATAAGGTGTCTCTCCAGTGTCCACTCAACCTGACCTTTGCTCAAACCTTAGAGCAAAGATATATTCAACCTTTGTCGCCAAGCCACCAAGGACATGATATGTGCTCTTGCATTTTTTTCAGGGGAAAAATCTACAGTGCCAATATGAGGCAGCTAATAAAGATGGGCAGTGGTGTGTGTGTGTGTGTGTGTGTGTACACTAGCTTGTGTTTACTGTGATTTTTAGCTGGCACTAGTCAGTGTTGTTCACCTCTGTCTTTTGACTAGCCACTACCATTCTAGCAGTCAATAGAAAGCCAGCAAGCTGAAATGATCAGAACAGATTTTTGATTCTAAACCAAGTGCAAATGTTTGATTATTATGCTGATGCTAACGCTGGTTATTATTACTGGCAGTGCAGTCTTTTAGCCACGTGAGGGATGTGGCTTTAGGGATTGGTCAGTAGGTTCAACTCTTTTTGCTCAACCAATTTATTGGCTATATTCTCATCTTATTTTGTCCAGGCATTTGCAGTCCCCAGAAGATGATTTGTGGTGACTCTGGTGATACCCCAGCTTTTCAGCCAACTCTACCAGCAGGTCAGAGTTTTCACTTGTCTTCTGAAATATTGCAACTCGATGGATTGGCTCAAACTTTTAAACAGACATTCATAGTCCCCAGATGATTGCTCTTTGTTTTCATGTTGAAAGTTAATTTGTCCAGTACTTTTGTTGGTGACCAAGTGCCTGCAAAGCTGCAGACATTCCCATCAGCCTCTGCTGTACTTTGCTATGCTACTAACATGCTAAGCTAGGATGGTGAGCCTGCTAAGCATCAGCATGATCACATTGGCATTGTGAGCGTGTTAGCATGCTGGTATTAGCATTTAGCTCAAAGCACTGCGCTGCCTATACAGCCTCACAGAGATAATTGTTTTATCAGGATCTGGATATCTGGATTTTTTTTTACTGTCCAAGATAGTCTATCGAAAACCTACATTAGTGTTGATCATTATTTGCATTTTTTAGGATATGATTCTAATTGAATTATATCAGTCACCTTTTTTTTTTTTTTTTGTTACTAAAAGATTATAGAATTTTAGAACATATTGTAGGGCAAAATATAACAGAGCAACCAACCCTCAGGATGCATTGCTTACTGTACATAGAACCAGTGGTAATGCATGAATTCACTAGCTGTGACACTGAGCATGTTAGCTGATACAAGGCTTCTGATGAGGAAACCAGACACCTCAGGGTGCTTTTCCTCCTTCAAACACTCGTCTGCTTCTCTACAGCCCAGCAACCACCAGCAACATTACGTCAGGTTTTCCAACACAAAGGTGTGTAAATGAGTCTTGATCTTTGGAAGCTTGAATGAATAAATGTGTTCCTGAGCCAAGCACCCAGCGCGTCGGTATTTCTTTTCTGCATCCTCTCTTGACTGTCAACAAGCACCGTGATTGTTGTACCCTTAACATGTCAGAAATGATAATGGTGAGCTGTATTATAAAGGGCTGCAATGAAGCATGGTAGCAGAACACACAAAGAAAACCTTTTCCTCTCCACAGTCACCAAGTGCTTTCCAACAGCGGATTTGTCAGGTTTTTCTTTATAGTAACTTCTAGACCTTACTATGCCATTTGCCTTGAGATCATTTCTGTTGTGATTTGACACTATATAAATAAAATGAGGTTGTAACTTAGGTTTTGGTCCTCTCCCCCATTTCTTATACGACAGTGGTGAAAGGTCATATCCAGAAATGACAGATAAGGTTAAAAAAATAATGAGCTTGTGAGGGATTATTTTACAATTTACTGTAAGCTTGTTTAGTCAATCAACTTATCTTTATGGCCTCCAACTGCTAAATAGTCATGTCCTTTCAATAATATTTGGCCCCACATGTCCTACTATAACACTTTGTGTTTTCTTGCCAAGTCATTTATCAGAATAGATAGGGAAATATATCCTCTTACTGCTCATGACTTTCCTGGTCAGGGTCACACTATCATTAAGAAAAAAAAAAAGGCTAATGATTGCTCAGCTATGCAGGATGTGCACACGCACTTAATGTGGCTCGAGTTTCCAAATTGTTATCATAATTCTAAGAAAAGCTTTCCATAACAAAGATCCTCCTTTTGAACTAAGTGCAAGTAATGTTTCTGGTTGGCATGAGGTCATTTTCCAACACACTGCCTTTCCCTGTCAACATGTGGCTTTTATGGTATTGTTTATGCTGAGTGTATTATATTGCATACAGGGAAAATTTCACTTGGAAAATGATGACACATTGTAAAAAACACCTGTCTCCTCGTCTCAAACACTTTCTTTTTTTTTTTTTAATGAATTGTCTCTTCTTTTTTTGTATATCAATGAGTTAATGAAGTTCTGTAACAGACAAATGTAATTCTTAATAGGTTCAGTTAAAAACTTTCATATTGTACTGAGTATTGTCTTAAAACAATGCTCACATGCCAAATGGCCTAACAACATTCAAATGTAAGGGGTTTGGGACAACATCCAGCCTCCTTGCTCTGTGCAAAAATTCATTCTAAAGTTATGCTGAAGTTATGAGACTTTATTTTTATTTTTATCATATTATGAGACTTCAAGAGTCTGAGTCTCAGATCAGCCCATTTGATTATGCCAAGTCATACTGCTGAAGCCTCATATTAGTTTTGGCTAAAACTTTGAATAGACTTTTGCACACTGAAACATTTTCCTTTAAAGCTATTTTTAAACATACCCGTCTCACTTTACATGGACAAGCAAGATAGAATAATACATATTAAAAAATCATAACCATTCCCAAAGCTGGATTAGCATGTGGGCAAATTGGAGAACTGCCCTGGAACCCAGGACCTTCAGGGACCCTGATATTAGTTTATAGAAGTTTGTTTGGTGATACAATATGCAGCACTAAAGCTCAATACAAAGTGAGATTATAAAGGCCTTAAGGCGGCTCATGCATTTTACCTAATCTTCAGACCCTAGAGGATCTCTTGTCAAAATCTAGATTTAATGCCTTTTTTATTGCAGTTGAAGTTAAGCTCACATGGTGAAAACAAAACAGACAACAGTAAACCTGGGGCAGAGTAGTACTCTATGTACTCTAGCACAGCACATAGTGTACTGGTAGGCTGCAGCACACCTGCACGTTGTACCTATGCACTTGCACATAGTGTAAATGCATAAGGATGCATACACGGTACCAAGAAAGAAATGGGTGGAGGTCAACAACTCCTTTTGGTAATAAGGCAACAGTGGTGCGGTGGGTAGAGCAGCCGTCTCTCAACCAGAAGGTTGAAGGTTCGAATCTTGGTACCTCCAGTCCACGTGTTGAAGTGTCCTTGGGCAAGACACTGAACCCCCCTCCCATTGCCCCTGATGGTTAGAGCCATCAGTTGAGTTGGCGCCGCAGATGGCTGCTATTGGTTCTGTACCGTAAACAAATTCCTTGTGTGTAACGTACTTGGCCAATAAAGGTGATTATCCTTATCCTGATTATCCGTAATGATTGTAATGTCTCTGAGACATGTGTGATTAACATCCGGTAAACAGGCCCTGGTCAAAGGCCCATTCAGACTTCTTTGGTGAAATCTCCCTGCACTGTCTGGGGAACACTGCCCTCCAGAGGGCCAGGAGACACGTCGTCTCCCAACGAACTCCTCTGATTAGACCAAGTGACTCCAGGTGTGCTCTGATCCACCGTGGTCTCAGTTCAAATGCTGCCTGTATTGCTTGCCATGTAAGTTTTCTTTCTTTAATGTTAATCTGTTGTAAATGATTTGACTTCTGGTTTGGCTGATAAACATTTGATCATGTTTCCACACTTTATTGCTATTTTGCTGTGGTTCTACTTGTACACATGGATCAGTGAATTTTATTTTCCTGTTCAAGACTATTTATCATCAGGATGCAGTCAAACAGTTGGACTTGATTTGAGTTGTCCATCATCAGGACTTCATTTATTAAATCTCTCTCAAGGGCAGGGCAGGCTGCAGTCACAGGGGGAGTGAAATGAAACTCTGTCTCTAAAGACCTAGCAGAAATCAGAATTTTGTTTATTTGTAAAACGGGGAAGTTTTACTTCTCTGGGCGTCAAGCAGATTTAAATGGAATCATCAGAGAAGTTGGACAGGTAAATTCTTAATCAGTAGCACTGGTGTTCTGGATTAATAGAGTAGTTGGAAGATTTTCTGTCTCTAAACAAAGTAATAGTTTGGTTCACAGCTTTGGCTGCTTTCAAGGTTAAATGTGTTACAATCAGCACTGGTGCACAGTGAATGTTCCCAGGCAGTTCTGGCTCTTGTGCTCTCATGCTGTGAGCATGAAGCGCCCATGCTCATACAAACAGGCTCTAAAGCAAAAGTAATCAAAATACACCAGAAGTCAAATACAGAAATTGTACTCAAGCTCCATTTTGGGTTGTTATGGAAATATTTTCCACAAAGCAGAATTTTTTTTTTCCTCCCACTGGCTTTGAGTTGTCTATCATCAGGGCTTAATTTATCAAATCTTTCCCAAGAGTACAGTCATTGAGGGGAGTGAAATGAAACTTTGTCTCTGAGACCTGTAGATCTTGTGTGTGTGCATCAGACCTCTGTGACATTCACAGTCTGCTTACTTGTTAGATTTTTGTTCTTTGTCACAAATTCCATGGAAAAGGATACAACCAAAATGATGACTCACTGTTTTGCAGCCTGTGGCTCTCGGCCTAAAGTGCACTGGTATCCACAAATTTATTGTAATGCCATGAAATTAGTATTTTTAAAGGGACAAAACGACTTCCTAAAACAAATGGGAAATGTAGTTTTAGGGAAATGTTACCCAAAAAGATGTAAGCTGTGCATGTGCACTGGCTATTTTCAGCATGTGATCTGTCCACTTTCACCAGATGCGTCCTTAAACCTGAGCCAGTCAAGTCTTGGTCCATAACATGAATATGTTGTTCTGTGCAGTGCACAATGTAGTAATCCAAGTTAATACTGTAAAGTTTAAAACTGTGGTCCTACCTTGAAATATGGTGTTAAATACTAAATACAGATGTTATGGAGCTGAAATTGGTTCAACAGATAATGAAAGTAATAATTTTCCTCATTATTTCCTATTAATACCCATCACTTTTGCCAAATATTACAGATATTTATAATCTGAGATGATGATGATGATGTTGCATGAAACGGCTGCAGAAGACCCTGAGTGCCCTGAACTCCTTGTTGGTCCGTTGCTGTTAATGGATGTACATGGAGACAGCGCCCCCATGTGGACATGGTGAGTTTCTTGGATGCTCTCCTGTAATGTTAAATGGCACATGGTACTTCAGAATATGAAAAAGGTTTTATTGAGCTGAAATCTGCCTCTCAGGTCCATCTTACACTTGTATACCGTTCCAACAAGCTCTGCCAACCAAATAGCTGCATATACCAGTTTTCTGGGGGATTAACTTGACAGATTAGTAAAGACTAGATCATTTCAGACACTATTTTCAAACTAAATTATTCAGGTAGTGTAACTTCCCCTTTTTTGGTTTCAGGCTCCCTCTGAATGGACATATGAATTGGACATAATGAATTATTTAAAGTCAGACATAAATTATGATGTGATATTCTACATTAAGTGCAGTAAAATGTAAAATAGCTCATTTATGAAAGTAATCATGCAAAGAGATTTATGACTAGGATTTTTTTTTTAATATTGTACATTATAGAATTGTGTGTTAGGAAGAAAGCAGAGATCCTGCCAGTGTCCAGCATGTAATCTATACCTCCTACTAAACTGGAATTTTTCTAGCATCATCATAGGCAAACTAATTTGAAATATAGTTTATATAAACTTACAGTGGCTTCATAAAATATTCAGACCCCTTTTAATATTTGTACTATTTTATTATAACCGCTACTGACAAAGTGAAAATTGGTTTTTAGACTGTGTAAATGTATTTTTTTTTTAAAAGCTAAATCTGAAATCTTTTATTTATAAAACTAAATAACTAGTAACTGTGAAGTAACTCTAAACTTTGGTTGGGTGCATCCTGTTATTCTTGTTTTTCTTGGCCTCATTGTGAAATGGTGCTTTGAAACCACAGGACTCTTCCTAGAGTTGGTAGTCTTGCCAAACAGTAACCAAGAAAGAAGAACGGTCAGGAAGGCTCTTTCCTACATCACCCTCTTACTTTTTGCAGTTCAGCTATTTTTCTTCTGTTTGTGATTCCTGAAACTAAGACCAAACAAAACACCGTTTCTGTTCTCCACCGCTCCAGTGAGTGACATGTCCAATAACACTGCGCTTCTCGGTTTCGTTGCCATGAGGTTCGGACAACTTTTTTAAATGCAAATGGTTGATATTAAGGGCGCGTCTACATCTATTTATGGCTAAAGGTAGGAGTGGAAAAGAAGCGCGTGCCCGTGCGCCCAGTTCCACTGTGACTGAGCAACAGTATGCGCGGAAAACGATGCATGTTGCTCACTTCTGTTAGTGCGTACACACGGTTTTAGTCATGAATCTAAAGAGGTTTACGCGTCTGACCCGTTGAAAGCTTGAGATTTACCCAACAGGAATAGAACAAGAGTGCTGCCAAGGGGTTTTTAACAAGATATCCTTCTAAATCAGGCGTCTTAATACGGTGGAAATCAGTTTTTAAATGCATTCCACAGAAATTCTAACCATTTTCTGTCATTATGGAGTACTGAGTGTAGACTGATGCACTATTGCAAATTTACCTTTATGGACAATTTGTATGGCCCCAGAGTAACTTTGAACCACTTATATAAAAGGACCAAAATATAAACAGAGAAAGCAGGATGCCTAAAAGGGCAGGTTCGCAGTCATGTCAGGTGCTCATAGATATTAAAACAGGGTTTTCTTGCTTTAATTATTCTTCCTGTTCCTACAGGCCCTTGAGAGAGATGTCCTAATGTTTCCGTGATGTTATAAAATCCTATATAAAAAAAAAAAAGGCTTCCTCCTTCTAGATTAGTCTGATATGAATCTCTTCCAAAGTTAAAGGCAACTCAGTATAAAAGTCCTATACTGCTGTTTCCACTGTAACAGGAAACACAAAAGGGAATTTTAAATGAAAAGACTTGAGCATGCAGAAGCCTCAATCTCTAGATAAACTTCTGAATCATTTTTGCACCGATAATGTGGAGGGGTTCTCTTAATGGCGAGCATGAACAGGGACAATTCTTAGACTGAACCAAACCTTGTTCAGTGCCCATACGAGCACCTGACTACTGTTATGAGATACACTTAACTGTTGACCTATAGTTCTGCATTATAAACAGCACAGTCACACATTCAACACTGTCCTACGAAACCATTTATTTAAAAAGTATAGGGGATGGATCATGCTTTAATACAAAAATATTCTAAATACTGTACAGTGGTTTTCAACTTCCTGCAAAATAAAACTAATTTAAAACTTTTAACAAGGACAAAAACAATTCTCTCAAAATGTAAATACTCATTTTGGTAGAGGTTTAACCTAGAGTCCAAACACTGATCAGAGTTGATAAATCCTTGGAATTGGAGCAGAGTGAACATTTTTACAGTTTTTACTGAGAGGAAGGTTACAAGGGTAATTAAAATTTACAAAACAGGACATCACGATGGAAATGTAATTGTGCAATGGAGGTGAATCCAAATAAGGAAAATGCTTTACAAGTAAACAGGATGCCTGATCCTGAAGGCAATATAAAACCGTTTTTCCCCCTAACGGAGTGTTTCCAGTTTTCCATCCAATGAGACATGCTCTGCTCTCAGACGTGGCTATAGCAAGAGTCCTGGTACTCGTCACCAGCCCATTCATCTCCTCAGCTGGTACCATAGAACACTGTGCTGCTGGACTAAGTCTTTCATTTAGAAAATTTGTAGGATTTTGCTTCCTAAAAAAAAAAAGAAACACTTTTAGCTGTTTGAAAATTAACCCTTTAAAGTAAAATGTTTGATAGAGCAGCACTTACCCAGGCCTTTAAGGAATTTGTTCACACCACTTAGCCCCGGCTCAGTGTACGATTCCACATACTCGGCCACTCGGACTTCAAAGAGACCTGAGAGAGAATATGTGCAGCAATAGAAACTTAAACTGCAACACATTGTATCCATAGCAACATTACATAGCCTATACGTCCTGTTTCTTGTCAAAGTTTGTTTGCACAAGTGATGACTAACATTTATTACTTGGTTATTACCTGATCCAGTTGTCTAGAGGTTAAATATCAAATATTCTTTCTGCATAGTGTTGTGGAAAATGTCATTAAATGTAAAAAAAAAACAACTATGTAAACAGATACTTTTACAAGAAGGTAAAATGATATGGGCTGCAGACAGGATGCCGTTTTGGAACAGTAAGCATGCTGAATCAACTATTAAGTTACCTTTGCTATGTGCTATTGGATATATTGACAGAAGTATGTTAATACTGAAATCCTAAAAATCCATTGTTACTCATGCAGGTTCTGAAGCTTTCCAATTCCTTCTCAGTACCTACCTCTTCCTCCTCCCTTGCGCAGCTCTTTGTCCTGAATGAAGCCAGCAAACATCTGGGTTTCCATGAAGAGCTGCAGGAACTGGCGAACTCCACGGGAGGGATGAGATTTGCGGAAGCTTTCACGCTGGAATTCCCTGCTTCCATTGGAGGACTCGACCATATGTAAAGGATAGTGGCCCACCAGCTCTACAAAGAACTGCACAAAACCCTCTGACATCAAGGAGCTCAGGTCAGCCTCCTGGCCTGGACAGGTCACATTTAGGATGAAAACAAAAGGGTCAATAAGACCATATCCAAAACTGATTAATTCTAGCAATAAGACTGTCTAAGGGATCTTTTACTCTCAACAAGTGTTGACACAGATGAAGCCTGGGACATGTTGAAGGCCTGTGCTTACATTGACCGTATTAGAAACTTGTAGTACACAAACTGATAAAACTACATTCTAACAAAAACTAATGGACCAACACTGAATGTGCGATTTCTATTTTTCTGTTATAAAACAAAATTTTCAGCACTTGGCAGGTCACCAGTGGTGCAGGGATGTTGTAATTCATTTCAAAACATTGTCTGATCGTAGGTTTAACAGAGTGAACAAAAGGAAGAGTTGATGCTGCTGCGATGAAAAAACAGGACCTTCATCTGCTGAGTTGAAAACTTAAGGGCTTTTTTTTAATCAGTGAGTGAAACACTGACATGCAGCACCTGGATGTGATGCCTCTTATACCAACCTTCACATCTGTCTCTATTCTCCTGTTTCAGCATGTCTTCCCTCTCCTCCAGGATCTGCTGCAGTGCTGCCTGCAGCTTACTGGGCAGGATGCAGTCTTCATCACCCAGCTGTCACACAGGACAAGAAAAGTCACCAGCAGTCACAAGATGGGGTTTAAAAGCAACACTTCCACCTTAACATTTTCATGTATATAGCTAGGGAGGACAAAACCAGAGCAACGTCTACATATAGTGTAGTCCAGTACAACACAACCTTTAACTATGACCTCAATAATAAACATGTATTTATACATTTATGACAACCTTGAGCTTCATAAACAGACTTGGCCTCCCTGGGAATAAAGGTTCTAGATTTTCCATGCACTGGATATTGCAGTCTTAAATACCATACCTACAAACTACACTGTATGTCAGAGATTCTTTACCTCTATGATCAAACAGTTATGTACTTAGAACAGGCAGAGTGATTACCATTTACAGACAAACCTGCGGCCTTATTTTTGCATCCTACATAGTTTCATCTCTGAGATTCTCTAACAATTTTGCTTCTATCACCCTCAGAATAATCTGCATGAAAATGAGAAGACCACACCCTTCATAAACTGTTGTGTACAAACCTGAATGACAAACTTGTCTGCACACAGATCCACTATGAGCACCTAGGATGACAGAAATACTGAGTTACTGACTGCACGCATTCACTATTAAGCAACCAGAGTTATACAAAGGCGAGGTACAGTAAGTCTGACCTACAGTCTGCTCAAGCCACTGTTTGTGTTACTGGGGAGCCGTTACTGGTTTTGGATTCACTGACAATATGCAGTGAATACACAGCAAAGACAGGGCATTAAAACCACTATACAGACATCTATTTCAAGTGGACAGTAATTTCTTATAAAATTACTAGAATTTTGACCAACCTCCTCAATGGGCAGATCCAGCAGCTCTGGCAGGCAGGGTGCCAGCACCCCAATGAGGAAGGGGGTTGGGGAGCAGCTGATGTCAAGCATGCTGGCTGGCAACACGGGAACGAAGGTGTGCTGCCAGGTGAAGGGGTACAGCAGTGCCAGTGCTGCATGGCCACACCGAGACAACACGCTGCAGTGAACAGAGGAGGAGGGAAAAGATAAACATGTCGTACAGATGATGTGACATATCAATCGTACTGTAGCTCCCTGACAAAAAGACGTCATGATTCTTATTTTCCACCTCTTTTTCACAGTGATTACTGTACAAGCAAACAGTACTCATGTATTAAACAATTCTACCAAAATGGCAATGATCTGTGCAGATACTCGTCATCAGAAATAATAAATACTGCACTTTGTCCCCATACATGTGAAATACTACCTCCTCCACTTCCTTTTGACTTCAGCTTTTTCTCATCTTTGGAAAACACACTGCCAAGTTCAGCACTTTTTCAAAAGCTCACTCATCACCTCTGTTATCTTCTTGATTTAAAAAAAAAAAAAAAGATTAGTCATTCATCAGTGATCCTAAGGATTGTGGCTCAGTTTCAAAGTGCTGTTACTATAGTCCCCAGCAAAAACAACAACCCTAAATGCAGCTATTTTAATCATTTTAATAACTTCTTGTCCACATTTAATATCCAATTAAATGCTGGAATATAACCTTTGTAGTTGTAGAACACTTTGTAGCACAGAAGTTGCCTTACCCTACTGTGGACTCATCCTAACCTCAATCCTTGATCCTGGCACAGCCCTCAACATACAATATTTTACTATATCACCTTAAATCATGTAGCTGCCCATGACCTAGAACACTCAGGTCACCTGACAGTTATGTTTGGGTGAATATTGACCCAAAACTGGTCAAAACAGCACCAGAGCAACACCAAGTTAACTTTAACTGCACATATACCAAAGACCTGCTGCGCCCTGGTGTTAGTGGTCTCACTCACACTAAAAGGTGGTTATGTTGCCCCAGTGCCAGATGTAACAAGTTTAAGCTTACATTAAAATTTTAATATGTAATATGTTAGCTGTACATACTGACATGCACATAGCATTCAATAACAAATAGTAATATGCAAGATTATAAGCAGCCAGGGCAGATTATTAGTTAACAGCCTTATTTTAGTTAACTGTAATTAATACTGCAGACAAAACCTGCGCACAGCTCATCGCTTGCACTAACTTTGTCAACTTTTTGCCTCATAGCCCTTCAGGAAAAAATAAAACAGGACCACCCAACTTCCCATCTTTATAGAAACCAAGGAACTGGCCCAGGAGAAACTGTGATGCTGTGGGCCAAAACAGGCTATTGACAAAGTGCAAGTAATGAGCCGTGTGTGGGGTTTGTTTTGTTTTTGTCTGCAGTATTGATTACTCCATCCTGTGCACCTGCAAAAAGATGACATGGCATGTGAGATCTTTCTTTCTCAGCATTACTGGCCATATAAAGGCCTGTAGTGATGTCAGGCTGTGCAAATAAATGTGACTTAGTATTATGTGAGCCAACAAATTCAGGCCAAAGTACACAGAGATAATACTGGCCTTCATCCTGTGTGACATAAGCACCAACTAGGATATATCAAAGAACAGTCAAATTTTATTATTTTTTTTTTACTGCTTACAGTTTAATATTTTAAAATTGCCACGTCATCCCTGTAAATACTGACAATTAAGTGGCCCTGCAGCATTGTGTGTGCTACCACAGCAGTACCTGAGTTTGTCCGCAATGAAGATGACCCTCCTCTCAAGCAGAAGGGAGGCGAACACCTGCAGGAGTTTCCCAACACTGAGACACTGCAGCAGACTGTCAAAGTCCACATGCTCCAATCTTGAGTCCACTGGTCGACACAAAGTCAGTACCTGGCAAAGCAACAAGAAAGAATGCACTTGTAACCATTTACACTGTCTGACTGTTGTGTGTCTAGAAGAACTCAATTTGCAGCATTTCCTCAGTTTTTAATGGAAGGGTCATAACTTCACTTTATTTAGTCTAACCAGTAATGACTCGCCTTATTACTGTAGCAGACAGTATATAGCTGTCCTAACATGCAACCTTCAAAGCTGAAATAGCTATCCCTCTTGTTTGCAGAGATAAGCTCTCACTCTGAGTCTACACAAACAAGTGCTTAGGAGGAACCAAACTGCTAATTAACATTTCTTCATTTGATTTCACAGTTACCTCATTCCCAGAGCCAGGGAGGAAGCTCTTGACTGTAACTGTGCGTCCAGGGGCTGGAAACGGTGCCTCCATCACGGTACGCATAAAAGGGTAAACTAGCGCTGGGGAAATCTCCCTGCGCCTCTCAACCTCCTCCAGAATCTGGACAGACAGAGGCAGACAAATCACTGTGTCCCCTGAAGGAGCTAGTGTTGATTACAGTCTAAACATTAGAGCAGAGGGAGCTCTGCATGTGGGACACAGATTTCACTCAGCCAACTGCAAAATAGGCAGGACACAACTACAGGCATACAATTTCCTTTTGTGAAAGCACACCCAGTGATTGCTCAAGATTACCTGCCAGTGTAGCCTCATTCCATCCTAACACGAGTTTCAAGGCAGCAGCTTTCACACACTTAGAAAAGGATTAGCACTGAACTTCTGAAAATCCAACTCTTTTCATCTTCATATAAAGGTTGGTATGTTACTTTACCTTTGCAAACAGGTTGAAACAGCCCAGCTTGCTAACAATACAGTGCACCTCAGGAAGCCTCTTCCCCTTTCCACTGGGCTTGAAGACACATAGTTTCATATGTCACAAAGCAGGTAACAACACCACAAAACACATCAAAGAAACATTTCTAAATAAAATATAATCAGGGCCACATTATTAAAATCCAATTTACCATTTCACTGTGTTTAATAGTATTTTTAATGACAGCTTTGTAGACTGGAAGGGGAAACAATTAGCCATCGTTATGCCATTTATAGTGTGCACATTAGACAACCACAGCATGTTCACAATAAAAATAAACACAAACAAAATAGAAATTACTTCAAGTAAAAAAAAAAGTGTTCATTGAAAAGTGTCAAAGGGTCTAAAAGCGGCTCTCCTTGTGAGGCAAAAAGGGGAAAACTATGATATTCTTCTTGCTCTCTGCCACTGATTCACAAATGGTATGGTCTGTTATTCACATCTCCAGAGATATTGAGCAAGCACATGGTGGGTTGCTATGTCATTGCAGACACACAAACACGAGCCCTTGAGTCAGTGATTCAGACGCAAATGTTAACTCATCCACACTCACCAGGATCCTACAACAGTAACAAAACCAGCGGCTGCCGTCTTCTCCGGTTAGGACGAAGGAGAAGGTCTCACTACAAACACAAGATCAGTACACAGAGGATGACGTGACTGGTTGTTTTAAAAGGCAGGGAGCCAATGTTACAACAATAAACCAAATCAGGACCCAGTGCCCCTTGGCACTCAAAAGATTTAATTAGATCAGATGAAACTTTAATTATCCCTGTGGGAAATTTAAGTGTTTGCAGCAGCAATTTATGGGTTACAGCTGACAGATGAGGATAAATAGGAAAAAAATTTATACAACTGATTTTTACATGGAAGGTGTGTATAAGACCAACAAAATGATATGCAGACACAAAGGAAATGAATGGAAGATGGAAAAAAAAGGAATACAGTATCATGTTACTGCCACATTTTTGCAATACAGCATACATTTAGCATGCTGTTAAAATATTACTGTAGTGCATGAGCTGACCTTGGCATGTGTGCAGAAGGCTTCCAGTCCTGTGAATCGGGGAAGCAGAACTTGGGAATGACCTTGAGCTGATCCTCAGCCTCCCTGGAGAGTCGCAAGGACTTGTCAAACTGAAACAGAGGGATGCCAGTTCAATACAGCTGCAGTTCTCCAGATGACTTCATTGAAGTGATTCTAGTGAGAACATCAGATGATAACTGGTTATAAATAACCACTATACTGCTGTAACCTTTAATATCTTCCCATAGAGGTACCGGAGATAACACCCTTAGTAAAGATGATCAAATTATCATGGGATAAGATGGCAATATTTCAAAGTCCCTGAAACATATGGATAAAAATGTATACAGAAAATCAAATCAAATAGATTCAAATTTGGAAATGAAATTGGCAAGTGGAATACCGTTCAGTTAAAGAACTATGATCAAAGAGGAGTTGTGTCTTTTGTTTCCAACAAGGGTGGGGTAATTTTACTGTAAAGGTTTTTTTCTAACCACTTTGGGGAACTGTTGTGTAATTTCAGGGAAGTAGTCATTTCCTACGGAGCCTTTTCTCAGTGACACCACCACGAAGATCTGGAAAAGCTGCTGCTGCTGCATCTGGATCAGGTCTCTCTCCAGGGTGCGGTAGCCTGGCCGACGTTTCAGTGTAGATTGTTTGTAAACTAATCTCCTGGAGCCTGTTGAACACCACACAGTGAGATGATATGGTAATGATGTAATGTTTGGCCTGGGACACATCTAATCCAGCACAGAGGAGCAAAATGCAGCATTTTAAACTTCAACATGCAGTACAACAGTGGAGTTAACTCTGATGACATGGTATCTGAGGCAATGGTCATGCTTTATCTCAGAGGTACTATACGAGTTTCTCAGATTAAACCACATTTCCCACAAGCCTAAATCTTGGATGTGCCTTTGTTTTATACTAAACTGAAGTTAGTTTCCTAGCATAAATTTAGGAATAGCAGTGCCAGTCAATCTACTTTGGAACAGACTGACATCTTGACAGGTGTTTCCTTAAAATTTGGCAAAAAAAATAGATGGCACAAAAAGAATGAATTATAATAAATTTGGTGATGCTCTAACTTTTCATCTAGCACATCAACTTTCAATTTGTTCAATATTTTGATTTATCATTTTTTATACAACTGACATTCCCATTAGCCTCAGTTGTACTTGTAATTAACAGTATAAAAGCTGAAAGAAGGGTTTCTTATTCTGTACAAGAATGTACTTCCAAACTCTACCCCAACAATAAGACTGTGTAAAGGGACATTACAGAGAGCCTAACTTTATGTTGATACCTTTGCCGTTGTCCTCGGGGTCACTCTCTGTCCCACTGGTCTCCTCTGTTGATATGAATTAGAGGAGTGAGAGATTAGGGAGAAGCAAAGGGATGGAAAAGACTTGACAAGCCATAATCAGCTGCAGACAGCCAGCCTTTGTTTCATATTCAGTGGCTTTGCCTCTTGCAGCTAGCCTTGTGTGTACCATCAAAGGCTTGGTTATTTCCGCCAAGAGGATCAACTTAATCTTGCTGAAGTAAGTGTGTGTGTGTGTGTGTGTGTGTGTGTGTAAAGACATTTGGGCATCTGTGACTATGTGTCTTACCTCTCACTGAGACTCCCTGGTTCTTCACTCTCTTCCTCCCTCGCTTGTCATCAAAGATGGTTTCAATCTTGTTAACATACTGTTTAGTGCAAGGCACACAGGTACTTGTCAGCAGCACCATAATTTTACAGCCATTATGCAGTCATGATTACAGGGAATCATGATAACAGTTTTAAATACATCATTGGTTTATAGATTTTTAGCATTTTTACCCTAAAACACTGAATATTCAATGGTGGACTCAGCACAACTAAGGCCCCGCATTACTGAACAGATACAGGCACATACAGGAAGCTCAAACTTATCTTTCAGAGGACACACAGATGACTGGCAGTTGAGGAGGCAAACTTTATGACAGTGTATGAAAAGAAACTAAAACGCCTCTAACTAAGATAATGGTAGTGTTGCTGAGCAAAATAATACATAATGATGTGTTATGTCTGTGAACATTTTCATGATTTTAACATCTGTGTCACAGATCTTTCCTGAAAGAGTTCAAGAACAGCTGGCTAACTAAATGTTACGTTTGATTCTTACTATTTAAGCCATCCAGTTTCAACTATTTATTTAACAATTACAAACAGTATTGGGAAATAAACAGACCAGTAAAGACATCTTGGTAAAACACCATCCAAAAATAAACTTGAGTGGCATTTGTCAAACCTGCAGGCAGGTGAGTTTTGAAGCTATGAACCTTTTCTGCTCATCACATTTACAGTTATGTCAGTAAGTCCGTGTTATTACTATACCTTATTGTTCAAGCTCCCCCCTGTCCGCACTTTCGCCACTGCCATGGGTAAGTCTGAATTCTAATAAAGTCATAATATAAGTGGCTCTATGACTATCTATCTCTTCCAGTGTTTTCTTCTTCCTGCTCAATGAGTCACCACCCTGTCTTATTTCTTCAATGTAGCACGATACAACATACAACACCTAGTACATACCACTGTTATTCTACCATTATGTCAATATAAGAAATGTATAATATCTCAGTCAACAACTGTATTTGCATGCAGTGGGCTGCGAAAACTAATGGCAAGCTCAGCTACATTTTACCTGAGGTGTCCTCTGTGTTTTCTGGGGTGTAGCTGGTTTGAGGTGATATGCAACAGTTGAGGATTTGGATGATGTTAATGCTTGAAGCCCTTTCCACTCCACTTCGCCAGCATAGCCTTGCAGTGTTTGGGGTTTAGGAGGCAGCTGCAAGAAGAGAACTGTGGAGTTATCTCTTGCTTTCAAATAACTGCATATCAAACTATAATACTTCCTTCTTCTTCCCTTACAATCTCAGGGTAGAAAGGGATCACTTTATACATCCATACAGATCTAATGAAAAATACTTCTGTACTGTGAGCAGGAGCAATAAATAGAGCATCTTCCATTACCTTTGGGGCTTGAGGCTTAGGGAGACACATGGGAGACAGCTTGACATCCTCATATGGGCTTTCTCTGTTCACTTTACCTGAGGGACAACGGAGTGATGAGATTAGACTGGCAGGCTGTTTTATAAGAATTTCACAAGATCCCAATGCTCACATTCCTGGTGTAAGAGCAGTTGTGAGTGAGGTCTTTTCATCTCAAAGCTGGAGCACTTCCCTTTTTAATTTATTCCTTCCTGTTGAGTCCTTTCTGATGTCTACTAAACAATATCTTGTTACTGTCCTGATTTGTGGCAAAAACTACACTTTTCTTCTAATGCAGTCAGCCAAAAGGTGGGTACAAATTACTTCCACTCATTTCAATAAAGAACCACATACCATTTACCCTGTCATTATATTTTAAAGAGTGACAAATAACTTCTGCATTTTTGAGAAACACACTTTCTGTGAATGGGTTAAATTTCTTTATTAACAAAGGTGTTATAAGAAATATTTGGTAGGTGTTAACAATAAAAGTTATGTTACCACTCAGCAAAAGGGGTCTACTATGGCTAAATCAAAATGCCCACTTACACAAATGTAACAAATTAACATTTTAAATCCCTGCTGTATATTGTGTATAAGCAGTCCTGCAAACAATAATGTATTAACTATTATCTTATTTATTAATTTGCCTTTGATGGTCTTGTATACATCTCCAAAATGTCTTAATATTCCAGACACTGTAGGATTGGCAGGTATTTGGATTGGAAACCAGGCCTCCTTTTTGTAGGCACACTTCTCAAATGCTCTTTAGTGATTTTTCCTGATTAGTACACTGGGCACTGTCCAATATCGTTCATTCAAAGATTCTGTAAATGGGGCATTTAAAGCAAAAGAACATTACATGCGCCCACTGGTCTTCATGACTTCCTGTCTTTGTATGTTTTCAACAAGACAATTCAGGGTAATGATCAAGAGCTCTGGATGTTCATTCACAATCAGCTCTACAATGCCTCTTCGGTTTATATGACAAGTGACTTACAGACAATGTCCTCATAAATATTATCTTCAGAGTAGGCATGGTAAAGGCCTGAGTGCCGGGCCTCCCCTCCAAGCGTGCCTTGCTTCGCTGTCAGACGTGCTGCATCCTCATACTCAAAGGACTTCCTGTGGCAGGGAGGGAAGGAAGGCAGTGAGAAAGAGTGGCCTCGCTGCTGTCCTAGAGATAGCCCTACACTGGTGTTCACACTATTGTCTACAAAACTCCTTATGTTGGTATCAAACACAGAGAGACAGAAAGAAAATGATAGACTGTCATGAAAGGAAATGACTGAGCATATGGTCCAAAAGACGCAAAACAATGAGTGTGTGACAAGATTTACAGAGATGGCAGCTGGGACTATGACAACACCTGTCACGGCAAATATTAACTCACTGTGCAACTTTACTTCCCTGAAAGTTTTAAAAAGGAAGATGCAACTACTGTCTAGTTATTAGTTTACGTTCCCCTCGACTGTTCTGTAGCACAAGTCATGCTGTAGGCATTTTTTTAAACACATGCTTTATCTTAATTGCTTCTACCATACATGTGATGGAAGAGAAAGTGATTAATGATTTATGTTCGGTGTAATATAACACCTAGCGCCCCACTTTATGATATACAAAAATAAATGGTAGCTAATGGCATCCTCTGAAGTAGATAAAAGAGGAGCCCTGTTCAAATATGCTATGTGCAGACATGACAGGAAGACCTGGATTACATTGCAGCTTAGTATATGATACTTGTGAAATGATAATTGTGAGCCACAATTAGTAGCTTTGAAGGTCTGTTTTTACAGAATTTAAGAAAACAGTTAATACAATAAAGATACTTTAAGTAGATTTAGCTAGGAAATAGCCACAGTAGCTACAAGTGGCTATTAACGTCATTCCTAAGGTTTCTCTTGAATCATTCACTTTAAACATACCACTATTTGGTGCTGTGTTGCCAGATTTGGTGGTTTTCCACCAAACTGGGCAACTATTTACTTAAATGGACAGGCAAAACATCTTTTGGGCATCTTCTAATTATTTGGGGTACTTTTTATTGTGTATCAGCCATCATCGTTACTTTGCCAATTCAATTTTGAAAAACGCTGGACTCATGGCTGCTGAGGAACTAGGCCACATACAGACAATAAAGAAGAATGCTACCAGATGTCATGTGACATCACACCTGGACCCCAGCCAGCAATTTGACTCTGACAGTATCCTCCCCAAAACAACCCTAAAACGGTTTTAATCAAGACTCCAACTGAGAACAATTGTAGTGTGTATTTTTGCATAGCAAGAAATTCCAACCCTCTTCATTAAAAAAAAAACAAACAAACTGCTGAACTGCTAAATAAATGTAATTACAACATTACTTGATGACAAAACCAATCTGTGAGTGCTTATTAGCCAGAATAGAACAGGAATAGAATCAGTGATTATTTTCAATATTCTTGATTTTTAACCGTTCTGCTGTTAGCTTTTGCATGTGTTAAATAAAGTACCCTACCTTTAGTTAAAATAAAGCTTCCTTCCTTTTATTATAAGTTTAAAAGGGGTTTTCAGGCTAGTCTTTCCATTTAATATGCCAGCTGAACTGGACTCTGGTCTCAGGGTAACAAGTTATTTGTACTCTGCTCTCAGTGGTCACTTTAACTTACCTGTTCTTTTTATGTCTTGAAAGCCCATCAGTCTTTGCAACAGGACATGGAGGAGGTGGGAAGCTAGGTGGGTGGGCTACACTCGTCACTCTGGAGTGGTTGTTTTGAGGGGATCTCCTGTCCCATGTCACTGTGTACCCCGTGCTGTTGTTGGCTCCCCGATACTGGAATGTCCGCTGAGGTTTGGGGGGAGGCTGAGCTTCACCTGACAACTCTCTGCCTTTCTCCCAGAACAGTTGATCCCCCTCAAGCTTACGCCAGAAACCTCGTAGAGGTTTATAAACTACTTCAACACCCAAGATAGGATCCAATTTTTGATCATCTTCCCCTCTGAAGGTTTGTTTACTTATAGAGTTAGCAGTGTTAACCTCTATTTTGGGAGATGCAAAGACTTGTGTGGACAGTGGCTTATTTCCCTGGAATTTGGTTGAAAATTCAGTGGAACATTTCAACCAAGGTTCAGATTTCCCACCAACCACACCATGTCCAGTTTGTGCTGGGGATTCCCGAAAATCTAAGCCAAAGCTCCTAGTTTTTGAGTGGCTGGCTTTTGTGTGAGGCCGCCCTCTCGACCCCTCATTGGAGCATCCATTGCCCAGGAGATCCCCAGACAGAGTTCGGGATACAGTTGGAGGGTGCACTTTCACCGCAGCATCCTGGCTGCTGCCTTGCTGACTGCGACCTTCCCATTGGGAAATCTTCTCCCTGATGCTAATGCCCTGCTCATGTGAAGAGGGCTTCCCTGACTGCCGGCCCTGCCAGGTCAAGGTGGCCTTTTGCTGCGGACCATCACTCTCAACACCCCCTCGGCCGCCCTGCTCCACCCTCAGAGCCAGCATGTTGAGAGGGGGCAAATGTAAACTCACCTTGTGTTTTCCATGAGTGAATGCATCAAGGTTTTCCTCACAGTGATGGAGTGAAAAAGCCACATAGTCTGGAATTAATTATTCCAGAAATAATCCGAAAAAAACAGGAGCAACTGAAAGTTTTAACTGTCTTTGTGTCTTCTTGTGCTACCAGAGTGTCATTTCCAATCATCTCCTTTTGTAAACAACCTAAAAAGAATACAAGACAAAAGTTACTCTTTGATCACCTAAAAACATGTCCAAACAGCACACTGCAAGGTCAAAGGGGATACTGACACAGTAACTTTTGAAACAGGACACATCTTAAGTTGTCTACAAGGGGTAGGCAAGGTCAGATAGAAGGCCAGGAAGGACATGCTCCTGTCAAGGTCAGTTTCCAAAAATATGGTCACCGCAGCTTTCTGCTTCTGTCTGTGTTTTGACCCACTCCAACCCTCATCTACCCCTAGGGGAATTCTGTTCTGTGGCTCACCACAGAGCTGGCCAAATGATACAGCAATGCATTAAATTGTAATTTTGTGTTGTTACAAAGCGGTCTTTCAGATATCTGGGAAGAACGTGCATTATAAGTGATTTCTAAAATCTATGGAGGCATAAAAATGCACGAATCTCAAGGTACATAAAGAACCAGTCACAACTAGGTGAATTAGGAAAAATATTTAAAACACCTATCTACACAGTGGAATAAAGATTCCTCAAATGGCTGAGCTATTTATCAGAGGGCCTCTGTGCCATATCAATGTTTTAAAGCTATAAACTAAAGCCTTGCTACATCTAATCAATGCTTTCAAACACAGACAGACTTGATGTAAAGTTCTGCAGCTGCATGCACCCTGATTTATATTCCCTGAATGGGCATCTGTGTAGTCACTGTACACACTCGTACAGAAGCTCCTCGCTTGCTGGAACCAAACCATTTGGACACGTTGCACATTAGGACTGAGACAAACCCAAAGGGGGGCGGACGGTAAAATTCCACTGCACAGCTCATGATCATAATAACTCTATGCGCTGCATTCCTACAGAGATGTATGGGGGGGGTCGGGGAATAAATTTAACTAGAGACAGTCGGTCAGTCAGTCTTGCAAGAAATGCCTTTGTTCAGCTTGACCTAAATCAAATGTATGCGTACACTGGAATACTGCTCAATCATTAGCAGACCATGCTATGACAATGGGAGTCTCAAACTTACCCACTGGCATCATTTGTCTGTGTGCGGCATGTTGTACAGGAAGGTATGAGTTGTGTTTCCTGAGCTGCAGGAAAAGGGATCAGCAGACTGTCTTTAATTATGGTGCAGAGAGATTTGCACCCAGTTGCAAGCACTGATTTAAGCTATGTTTAGATCAGCTATACCTAAACCCAGTGATGGTAATCAAACCTTCTCTTTGAAAAACAGTGAATATAAAAATACTGTAAGTATCTAGTATAGTGTAACATATACAAAGAAATCTAAAACCATCAGCTCCCACTTTCCCATGGCATGCAGTTCAAATCAAATGTTTCTTCCAGTAACACAAACTGTGAGGTGTTGTGATATCAAGTGACAAAGCTGGAGGGTGAGTCCAAATCAGCTCCACTGATGTTTATAAGGCTGTCAACTCTGGAGAAAGGAATCCTGATATTTTTAGAAACTCACTGCCTCATCCATGTTGAAACCAGACAGGCAACCTATGAATCTGAAGAACCCCATCATCACTTGGCAGCTAAATTAAACCTAATTGCATACTCAATTCCACCACAAAACATCCTCCCAAAAAAGTGTGGCATGACCCAACACGTTGTAGGTGAGGTTTTGTACGACTCTGATTCACCATCAAAGTGACAGCTGTAATAAGAGAAAAATGTAGGTTTGCCAAATGTCAGCATAAAGGGACGCACCAAGGTAAACTGTCTTAAAAAAGACTGATCCATCAGCAGTGACCAGAACAGCTTCTGTCCATCCAGTCAATTCACTATAACAGGACTGGTGGAATATGGACCTCAGATGCTTTCAGCTGCAGTAGTCTATAGTGTGTATTTATTTATTAAGTCAACTTGACAATACTGGCAGATCATTTCAATATCATTGATAACCTCTCAGTACTAATTTACAACGACCACTGCCAAATCTGTGACCTGAAGTAGCTGTTTCATCCCTGTTATTATTTTTTGCTGCATTAACACCAATAAATATAGAGGCAGGAGGAACAGAGAAAATTAACCTTCCCTATACCCAACTTCAAATACCCTAGCTTACAGTTGTATGACGGAAAAACAACGTTGAACTCCCATCAAAACTATAAAATGTTATATATTCGTCTTTACTGCAAAGACCTCGTAACATATAAATGAAGCTCAATAACTCATCTGACTCATTAAGAATTACTCAATTCGGCTTTAACAAAAACTCTAAATAGCTTCAAGTAGGTAATGGTAACTGGCTAACACTTCTCACTTCCAACCACGACAGTGAAACTTCTCCAAATGTCTGTAGGAAGAACTAACTTAACAAACATTAGTACAGGAATAAAGTTTTGGTTACATCTTAAAGTTTGTTGGCCAAAACAAAGCACCGTTCATTGTACCGTTACTGGATGTAACGTTATGCCGGATTCAACAACAGACATTAATAGTACACAAACTTGTATTAAAATGTGAATATATTTGCCGATAATTGCGTCAGTTTTAACTGCCATTATTTCCTATTGAGACTGGCGCTAACTTTTCAGCATACGAAGTACTGGGAAAATGTAGTTGAGCAACAGGTTACGACAAGCAACTAGCTCAGGTAAAGTTAAATTACTGAATCCAACACAGCACAACTTGTCGGAAGAGTTGTTAGGTGATTGTAAAGACAATAGACCAAAATTAAAATACTGACAGACGCGTAAGCTACGTTTCTCGACTTACCTATTCTAAAATGATAAGAAAATGTCATGTTCTTTCTTCAACTTCTTTTCGATAGCATGAAAAACAAATAAATTTACGAGTCTCCTCGCTCGTATAACGTTAGCTCAGATTGGAGAAGCTAGCCCTCAGAATAAGTTCAAGCTAACGTTATTTCAGCCATACAGCCAGTTATTGGTAACTTATTAGGAAATAAACGTTACAGGGCCTAAAAATGGGTCGCCTATTGTAAAACTATACACAACAATAACAACAAAAAACGCGTCCATTGAGTAAAGCAGAACACTCCTCGTCCTCCTGCTCGGGACAGTTTTTGTCAAGAGAAACAGAAAATAGCCGATATGACTTCCGGTTTTATCCTCCAATATAAAATCCATGATAGACAATTGCATCATTTTCTTAAAGTTTATTACTGTTTATTGGGCCAGTGTCACAAAGAAGTTATTCAGTAACGTAAAGCAGCAAGTGGCCATGTAAACAGCACTGTTCTCTGTCATAACACCTGTACCTGAAGCTTGGGAACACACAATAAATAAATACATTTAAATGATAATTGAAAAGAGATGGGTCAGAAGAGGAAACCTGTCACTTCCAGTCTAGGGCTTCTAATGCGCAAATTGTGTAGTAATTTAGTGATCAGTTACAATCTGGTTTATGGCAAGTTTCACCACAGGTAGAACAAATGTTAAATGCTTATAATAGGAAGTACTTTACATACTGCTGGGCAGCTTGTGAATTTTCTACTGAGGATGAATAAAATCTTATGGTAACACTGCATTTAGTTTAATTAATATAATTCTGAAATGTAACTAGTAAATAAAGTTTTCAAGTGCATTTGTTTCTCTCTCTTACATGTACTGTAGTGTAGTCAAAGTATAAAGTAGCAGATAATGAAAATAGTGAAAATAGATAATGAAAAGTGAAGTACCTATAGATTGGCCCACCTTAAAATTGTACTTAAGTACAGTAATTTGGTTACATTCCACCTCTGCTTATTTTATTTTAGGGACATACAGTACACACAGTTCATTGTAATGGCAGTGCCAAATGAGGGAGCTACTAGGCGGGTCACTTCACTTCCGGTTGGACTCGGGCTGTTTTTGTGGAATTTGACGCAGCGGTGACTGTGAGAAAGTTTGGTTGAACCCTCCCGATTTGAGAGGGAGGACGTCACCTCGTCAACTCCCGCAGCTGTCAGAGATGAATAAATACCGTTGTCTTCAAGTGTCCTGGGAATTATCGACACCGCATTATGAGCCGCACCTGCGCGACTCACAAGTCATTAACTATGACGGGGTCTTTACTTTCATATATTAAAATGCCGAGATATGTTGTTTTGGTCCAAGAACGTGATTAATAGCATTAAACCCGTTGTGAAAACGCATTGTATGAGCGATAGGGTTTTCATGTTCATAGACTATACTTGGTCCAAAACATCATTTGATTGGCTCAAATCCAAATCATGTCGAAACGTAATAAATGTATATTTTGCAGCAGATGTCATTTATTCACTGAATTTTGAAACTCATGTAAAGAATATATTCAGTGAGCAGACAGACAACATGGGCTGTTCTACATATTTGGTCGTTATTTCTGATTATCTATCTATATAAATAATTGAAATGTAATGCTGATAAATTGCATTAATGGGACTATAACACACAAAGTTGTTTGACATTTTATTTCTTTCCATTCTTATGCATGATGTTTCCCCATATGGAATACACAGTGTAATATTCAAGACATTTGGACAAAATGTGTAGCTGATTTACAGTGAAAATAATCATTAAAAACGTTCTTCCTCCTCGTCGAGAGAACATCAGTGTGTTAGAAGGTTGGTCTCTTCTTGTCCAAGAATTACTGTGGAAAAACAAATATACTAGAAGCTTTTCTACAACACAACAGAGAAGATTTTGACCGGGTGTATGTTGACTTTCAATATTTACTCAACCTCCAGGCCCTCCTTGATGAGGTTGAGCTCATAGCACAGAGTCTCAAAACGATAAGCCATACGGATTTGGGCCACATTAGTCTTGCGGATGTCATTGCCTTCTGGACCCTCCTTCAGGTAGTCCTGTCCCAGGTATAGGGTCTTCTCCTTAGGAAAAGACAAACAAACACCAGGATATGTTAGCATAGTGTTAGTATAGGTTACTTCTAAATGTACCATAGTGTATAATCATCTGTTTTTAATAGCTGTCTGTATGAGTTAAGGGTAGAATATACAGTACTGTGCAAAAGTCTTAGGCCACCATTATTTTTGTTGTTTTAGCAAGGTTGTAATGATAATTTATATTTATTTCTCAGTCTCTTTATCAAGATATAACTAGAAAATACAGTAAATTTGTATACAACACATTTTGCAGAACAAAATGGCTTCAACAGTCCAAAGTCAGTATGTGGTGTGACCTCCCTTTGCACTTAGCACAGCTTGAATTCTTGAAACCATGACAGACCCTCCACCATGTTTCACTGAAGGCTGCTACACTCATTCTTCCACCTCTCTCCAACTCTTCCTCTCACATACTGTTGATGACTGGACCTGAAAAGTTCATCCTTCCATTCATCACTCCATAATCCTCTTTCCCACTGATCTTCACTCTAATCTTTGCAAGCTTTTGTACAGTATATCTCAGGCTTTTCTCCCCGTCCCCCTTCTGGAAACGTGGTTTGTTGGCTGCTGTCCTTCCACAAAGGCCGTTCCTGATCGAGCTTCTTCAGACTGTGGAACCATCAACTTGGCTTCAAACAAAGATGTCTGACGCCAAGTCGGGTCCTTGCAGGATTTCCTCAGATCTCTCAAAGAATAAACTCTGACAAACTTCTCATCAGATTTGGACAGTTCTCTAGGTCTAACACTCCTGTTATTGTGTTAGACCTCCCTGGATTCTTCATATTTCTTTAGAACAGCCTGAAACCACATCTTGAGTATTCAGTTTGTTTGCTGAGTTTTTTTCTAATATTCTTCCTTTTTTTCCTATATTTTCTGAGAAATAAATGTACATAGTCACCATAACATTGCTAAAACAACAAAACTAAAAGTGGCCTAAGACTTTTGCACGGAAATAAATATACATAGTCACCATAACATTGCTAAAACAACAAATCTAATGGCAGCCTAAGACTTTTGCACAGTACTATAGCTCTTGGGGTCATAATTTGCCAATATAAAGATAAAGAAAAATCTTATAAGCAATTTATTAAATTAAAGCGTCAACAAAGCATCACCACACTTAAAGCTCTCCATCAGGCGTGTTACCTCATGAGACATGCCGCTCTGCAGCACACTGTTCCTGGAGATCTCACACATGTCGCAGGTGCTGAGCTTGAAGACCTGGGCTGCAATGGCATACTCTTCCATCAGGGGTTCCTGAGGATGTAACGGCTGAGATTTACACTCTGACATTTCACTCCTATACAGCTACAGCACATACTGTATATACCGCCAGTCAAAAATTTGGATACACACTCCGATTGGTTTGAATGGGAAAGTGTGTCCAAACTTTTGACTGGTATTATACGTATTCCATGAACTGTGAAAGGCAACATTTCCAGAGGTAAGTGTGGTTGTGTAGCAGATATGTATATGAAAAATACATCTTTAAACTGATCATTTTGCACACATCTAGATCTGCCTGCTTTACATTTGGCATAAACTATTTCTTATAAACTGTATTTATAATACAGGTTCATAAAATGCATTAAACGCCAATGGTAGTGAGTAGGTTTGTGGGCTCTGTTTTTTGTTTGTTTTTGTTACCAACACATTATGCATTGGCTGAGGTGTGATTGTTGTTGTTGCTTTACTTTATGATTGTTATTATTTTATTTATTAACTGGAAAAGCTGTGAATAGCCCATTGAGATAAAGTTGACTGAAACCTGATCTTTTGATATATAGTGTGCTGTAAATGACTGCGCTCATTGAATATGAACATCACAACTTGCAAAGAAAACTAAATTGCATATGTATGACATACATAAAACAATAGCTATACTGTTCAATGTGACCCATTGTTTACATTTCTCTCCCAGGGCTCAGACCTTGGTGTAGTGGAACTGCATGGGGTCATCGGTGGACAGTGAAACCACCAAGCCTTTCTTGCTGAACTCCAGCAGGGGGTTCTTGGCATATTCCAGGAACAGGCTGTTGTTACTGAGAGGCGACATGGCAATGGGAATCTGGGCCAGGAAATACAGGTACTGCAGCACAGGACTCTGGAGGTGGAGGATTGATAGAGAGATATGATCAGGTGCAGTGAATTTGTGGCATTATTGACAAAGCCTGGACTTTTGACTTATTTGTTACCTTTTATTTTCAATAATGAAGCGGATAAAATTGCATTAAGTACAGTAATACTGCAGGCTAGGGCTGCATGATAAATCAATTTGTGAGCGTGATTTAGATGCCTGTGCGATCTCAGTCTCACGTGACAATGATTCTGTCGTGTTTGTACTGGCATGGAGATGCCATGCATCAAACCAAGCGCTTCCTTTTCCTCATTATACTTTAACCAATGGCAGGAATGTGTTACATTCCTGAAGAATGATTCAAAAACAAATCCAACATGTCTGACACTGTGAAAAATATTCTGTGTCCCCCTGCACCTATTTTTTAAATGTTCTGCTGCCTGCCTTATACACCTAGTGCCGAATAGCAGTTGAGGCAGAAATAAATCACTTTGCTCTTACTGGTTATTAGTTAACACAGCTTATTGGCGAAAAGGGAGCGCTTGGTTTGATGTAAGGTATCTCCATGCTAAAACCATTTTCAGATAGGACGCGGTATGTGCTGTGCTGAGCTGAGCGCAGCGTCCTATCTGAAAACATCTTAAATCTTGTGAACATAATAAGGTATGGGAATAGATTTCAATATCACTGTCATATTTAGGACAACGGGAACCTTAATTCCTTTACAGAACACAAGTCTGGCATCTAAAAATGATGCTGGATTATGTGAACTGCAGAATTAAAGTGTTATTTTAATGGAGGCAAGACACTGTATCCAAGCCAAAACTGACCTTCTTGAGGTTGAGGCCGTGAGAGATGTTATCGGCTGTCATGAAGGCAGCCAGCAGGTGGGTGATTGCACCGGCCTCACCACAGTGAGGCCTGAACAGGAATGTGTTCATCCCTCTCTGTCTGGAGAGCACAAGACAAACAAGCATCATACTACAGAAAGGAGACATAGTCTTTGTGGTACTCATTGAATATACACTCCAAGAGGAGATTTACAGAGGAGAATTTTTCAGAAAAAACAAAAACAAAAACAAAAATTAAATATTCATATTCCTGTTCTACAAGCAAATACTAACATTGTTTTTGAACACAGAAACAATGCTACTCACCTGCGGAGCTGGTTGAGCACAGCAATGTTGGCATACATGTAGTAGATGTAGTAGGTGTAGGAGGGGTTCTTGTTTATGTCCCACTCCTGTGGTTTGGGGCTCTTAGTGGAGAACATGTGGCCACTGTGTTTGGACTCGTCATCCACGCTGTCGAAACCTGTCACCTACACAGCAGGAGGAAAACAGCTGGTCATTCAGGAACGCTGGGATCTCAGGTGATTTAACTTTCCTCTGGTGGTTTTTCTGTTGTCTTCAACACTTAGATCCACAGCCTACATTAAATTAATATTCATGTTAGTAGATTAATGCTGATGAAACTGCAGTGCTTCTATTTATTTGCTATCCACATCTGGTCATGTCGAGCATTTTGACACTTTCACTGGTATATGATTTATCTCAGGTACATCTTTCACACATTTATGTTCTTAATTCATAACAAAGAACCAAAATAAGATTCAATATCTTTTTAAGTATGATGTGTTATGACATAGGAATGCTTTTTGTGACCGTCTCTGACTCACATGTTTGAGGAAGATGCTGAGCTCTGGGTTGGACTGTGGATCGATGGTGGCCTGGAACACGGGAAGGAAAACGTTCTCCAACATTTTGCCAAAGTGTGGGACAAAGTTCCTGCCTCTAAAGATGTCACTGAGATAGATGAGTGACAAAATACATTTATTTAAACCTGAATTCTTGCAATCTTTCAACCAGTTTGAGCCTTTTTTCAAGCCAACTGGAGAGTCTTTGATATTCAAAAAATAAAACCTATGCAAAGTATAAGTAATAATGTGTCTGCAACAGAATATTGTCTGCCTCGATTTGTTTTTTTAATTAAAGGACTTACTAGATTCTGGGAACTTGAATCATCCATTTGAGGTTTGGGGAGAAGACTCTGTGCTTGACAAACCAGCCGGCGAGCTTGTTCCACTCGTTGGGGTTGGAGCCATAGATGGACAGACGAGGCTCAGCATACTGGAACTTAGCTTCTTCCAGGTCGCTGGCTACTTCCTGGTTTACACAAAGATCAAGTCAGGCTCAGATCAAATGTGATACATAGTAGATTATCTGTTTGTCCCACCAGTAGTAGGCTAGTAAACAAAAAAAAAAGCAAGCAACAAATACCAATTTTAAATAGGGCAGAGTTCCAGTACAACTTATCTTTAGAATCACAGCCATGTCATCACAAAAATTTCTGTTTGTAGAAAGGACTTTAGGAATGTTGTCTGGCTGCACCATCATATTATATTCAGACTAACCTTGATGATGGTGGCAAAGTACTCTCCATTGATGCGATTCTCTGTTTTTAGGTACAAATCACGCAGCTCGCTGGCTCCCACAGGATTGTACTTAGCATTGAACTTATCAAAACGCTGGAAGGTTTGTCTACCCTTAAAGGAAACAGACAGAAGAAAAGAGAATTAGATTAAGGAAGGGCCGACTGGGGAAAAGAAAATTGAATCTTTACATTTAGTAGGTGTCCGAAATAACCTTAGAAAATATCAACTGGACTTGGATTTCTAGATCGAAGATGTTTCACCTCTCATCCAAGAGGCTTCATCAGTTCTGACTGACTGGTGTTGAGCCGGAGATATTTATCCCCCTTGGTGGTGTTTAGTAGGTGTCATTCATACTTTATGTATTTCAGTTTTCTTTGATTTTAAGATTTTTTTTATCCTTATTCTGCTTTCAGGTTCAACACACTGATAACATGAATGATTTATTATATACCCTGACCTGCCATTTTGGATGTAATACATTCATGTTGTCTAGCAGTATGTACTGTATACAGTCCTATCATTTTATCAATTTATAGCATGAACAAAATTTTTAATAAAAAAGCCTCTGATTGGTCTCTGCTATTCTTCATATCTGACACTCTGTATTAATCATTATTATCAGAACTTAAATCAGAGATTAGCAATAGTGTTGTAATTTTTCTTTTTTTGTGGGAAGTGCACCTGTAGTGTTTTGGCATTAAATGTGTCCTTTCACATCTAAGTTCACTAACATACAGCGTGCACATCCAGCGAATCCACAGTGAGGTCATAAGGGTGCAGGTTGAGAGACTCAAAGAGCTCCTTCAGGGTGACCTCCCGGCCTTTGAGGTTGTGCACAATGCGGTCCGCGTCCACACGATAAGATCTCTTGATGAAGCGCAACAGGTGCTTCTGGTTCATGCAGGCGGCAGCGTGGATGTGGGTGTCGACCTGTAACAGAGTGGGTCACTGAGGCATGGGGTTGATGTGATGCAGTAACTCTGCTTGGCCACAAGAGGGAGCAGAAGACACACATATACACACAAGCTGCATAGCAGGTATGAGACAGGAAAAGTGGGAAAGGAAATATCTAAAATTCTAATGTACAGACTGTATTGTAAAATAATTTATGTACATATTCATACACGTAAATTTACACATGCAAATAATAAATATAATATCATAATACAATAATACAAATATGGCAAATAATAGTATAAACTGTGAATATTCAGTGTACTGGAAAGATATTTTTCATTTAACCAGGAAATTATTTGCTCCATTGAGACCTAGGGTCTTTTTTACAAGGGGTCCTGGCCATACACATATAGTATGTTTAGTGTGACACATTAAACTTAACTCAAATTAAAATCACGTAATCAGTTTCTTTATAGATCCACTGTACACCATTTTGATATTAATATGACAGGATAAATAGATTTAACTTTGATTTAGCATTATTTTTTTTATATCTTTTATGTTTTAAGCAAATTTCAAAGCGATGACCATGACAAATAGCTACCTTCCTACAGTTGTAGAAGTCCCTGTGGGGGTTCTTCTTAAGCTCCTTCAGCTCCTCCATCTCATTCAGCATCTCATGCACATTGAACTTGGACATGAGGAACTTCAGACGGCGGTGAGTGTAAGTCTTACTGCAAAACAAATCAAAACATAATAGCACATTCATTGCACAGTGATAGTTGGCCAGTAATACAGAAAATTGGTTAAAGATGAAATCATGAAGGGGTGTTTTGAAAACTGACATTTAAATTCTGAAACTTAAAATACAGTAATGAACACTTTTAAAGGACTCACGCTGGACCCTGTGCAATGAGAGCAATGAGGAAGTTCATGTCATCTATGAAGGCAGCATAGTTGGGGCAGGGCAGGTCTTTGGGCTGATGTTTGTCTGCAGCTGCAACATCGTTGTACACATAGACAACACCATCCTTCATACGAGCAACATAGCCCAGATTCTCTGGCAGGTTCTTGGCATCAAAGGGGTCTTCGTCGTCCTTTGGAGGGGGTGTGAAGACTGAAGATGGATGTAACATAGCATTAGGAACAACAAATAGTACAAATATAGCTTGTGTCTAACCTCATTTGCGTAAACCCTAGGTCCATCACCCTACTGAGCCCCATCCGCTTTTTTCATCACCTGGCTGTAACTGATCTTCAGGTTTGAAGGTCTGTCCCTCAATATCACGCAGGAACTGGGAGGCCGTCCGTGGGAAGCGCTGGTAGGCCAGCCTCATGTACTTCTCCCTGATGCTCAAGGCACGGTACAGACCTTTACAGGATAGCTCGAAGTCATCCATGGTCACCTGAATAACAGGAAAGAGTTGTTACAGATAACTGAAAAAAAAACAAACAAAGAAAAAAACAAAAGACAAGTATAAGAAATAAATAGTGAACATTTTTGGTGTAACAGTTTTTTTAATCAGTCATATTCGTTATTGCCATGTATGCAAAAAAAACAAACAAAAAAAAAAAAAAACAAGGAATGTGACTCCAGTTCAGTTTAAGGGCCTATATTAGGATGATGAGATTAACAAACAACCTGACAATGCTATTTTCATTTCAGTGTGATAACAAAAATGAAACAAAGCCACGTATGTCAGATGTATTAAAAGTATTTTACATCACAGGGAGCATATGAAAACATGCTGCAAACTGTTTATTTTTAACATTTTGTAATTTCCTTACTGTGTTATGCAATTAGTACACTTGAAATGTACCTTAACAAATGTGAAGTTTAAAGTAAACTGAAGCAGTAATACCGAGCTTCTTTTCCAAAGTGTTTCCTTGTAAATGTAAAACCCATGAAACCTAAACCTCAGCCTGCCCACAGATGAGCTCCATTCATGGGCCTCGGGGGAGTGAGGTGTGAGTCAGCTGATTCACAGACACATATGAATCAACACCTCCTCGATCCACGTTAACTTCACCCAAGTCCATGTGTAACATGCAGTAATACAGGAGCACAAGCTTTAATTACTACTGCCACTATACTGTAATCCATCATACTGGAATCTAGAGAATTCACTAACAATATATAATAAACCCATTATAAGTAGTGACATTTTATTATATTTAAAGGAATAGGTGCTTATTTATTATAAGAGTTAAATGAGTGACGCTACTCTAACACCTGTCCGTTCAGTAGCTAGACAAAATGATTCCTCATATTTCCAGTCTTAATGTTAAGCTAAGCTAAGTGACTGCTGGTTGTTGTAGCATTATGCTGACTGGACAAAGAGTAATATCAGTCATTTAATTCTCTACAAGACAGCTTAATTCCCAAAATGTCAAACCAGTCAAATCAAGTCCACAACAAAAATACAACAAAAACAAACAAAACAAACAAGCACACTGCAAACCACAATGAATGAGAGATTCATTTATAAAAGCCCTTTCAGATGTAATGAACTTATATCAGTGTGTTTTACATGACAAATGATGGGGAGTCAGGCCAGTACTTTATAATAGAAACATTTAATTGTAACTACATATATTATTATACATGTATCTGTGTGCACATGTATACACTCACCAGCCATTTTATTAGGTACACCTGTACAATTGTATGCCGTTCAATGCAACACTTCCACCTTAACGTCTGTGTTTATGAAGCTCAAAATGTTTCAGTTTTTGGTGAAATTGTCATACATTTATAAATTCAATTACATGTTTATTAATGAGGTCATATTTAAAGGTAGTGTTCCACTGGATTACATTATATTCAGAGGATGGTGAGTGTACTGTATATGTACATCCTATATGTATTATAGATTTATGCATTTGCCACCCTGCTGCCTGTTTTCTGAAATAACTAAAGTGTCCATTTAAACAATTTTGATTTACATTCTACAATAAATAAAAAACAATTAGGTTACCCCAGAGGCGTAGTCTCCAATGATGGCCACTCTCTGGTAGTCAGGCACTTCTAGGTAGGTGGGAGTATCTACTGACATTGCAGGGGCTGCAGCTACCTGGGCAGCAACTGTGGGCACGACCATGGAAGAGGAGAGCTGGTGCCTTTTGCTGTTGATAAGGATATGTGAGGTTTAGTGGTTAGCTTCATCCATTGTTTGAATTTTAGAAATGTTTGGGGTGAAAGTGAACAAAATTGTCCTCAAGAATAGTGCTGTTTTTTGCACTGTTTTTTTTTAAGGGAACTTAATAACCATTAAATCAGTCTAAAAATAAAGCCCTAAAATGTATTGTTTCTACGCCATGTAATATGTTTTTGCTGAGCCACAAATGCAAACTGGCAATTCATATTTTTCTGCCTCACCGTTTCTCAGGATCATCGTCGGTGTGCAGATGGTGAGCCATCTCATGGTGGAGGATGGGACAGTCTTCAGCCACATCAAACATGGAGATCTCATCACGGCTGTTCTCGTCTTTGGTCTCGGATGCAAAGACCTTCTCGGCAAAGGCCCGCATCTGGTCATCGGTCTCTGTCAGTCATGGCAAAGATATGCTCTGTTTATGCTAGACATGCATTCTGTTCCCATCATGTCGCACAGCACTAAACTAAACAGGCTATGGCTATGAAGCAAGCAACAAACAGAACTTTGTGAGTGCTACTGTATGTTGCATAAATGGCTGCTATATTATGTACATTCATGATGATGAATTAATTTTGGACATGACATATATGATGATTATTTATGACATATAAAGCATATACCTTACCTAACCTGAGGTGTAAATACTCCAGCTCATGTGTTGTACACATGACCAGAGACTGATGCAGCCACTACAAAGTCTGCAACACTGAGCTCCAGCCTGGGCTGCAAACACAGCATCTCATGCACAGAGAGAGGATCTACAGGGATGAAGCACTGAGACACTCATACAGTATGACCTTTTATAAATGAACATGTAATTCCAGACAGTTTTCTTATCATCTTTTGTTGTTTATTTTTGATTTTAGCATCATTTGCACTCCATCAATTAAGATGTTGGTCAGTTTGTATGGATGTAAAAGAGACTATTTCAATCTGAATTGTCAGTTGGTATCAATCATTAATAATGTATGTTGCAAAAAATGACAAGAAAAGAGATCAAGTCTTCAAAACGACTGAAGTTATGAACCAAGCTATGATCAAAGCTGCTTGCGGCATTCAAATTTTATGAGAGATATGATGACAATACACAGCATGAGTGGTGTTACATGGTACCTGCTACAGATAACGTCTCTTAGATCAAATTTTACATTACATGCACTTACTAGCCAAGAGCCAAGGCTTTACATTCTCAGACAACAAATCCAGTATGTCACATATCACAACTAAAATCATTTTCACTTCTCACCCATCTTACTTACTTTGTGGACCTGATTATGCCCAGAGAGCGAGTATCATCACCCAAAATAAAAGCCAAAAAAGAGAATTAGAAAAGCATGGGTTAAAACATATTTTGTTCAGTGTTACACAGGAAGATGACATGGCGTACAGTATGAGCATAACAAAATTCCCAATATAATTGCCATAGTTATGAATATATAGCAGTAGCAGAGACCGAACCTGAATTTTAATATCTTTCAATATTCACAAAATAAAATATAAATTATAAATTCATGCAGTTGTAGGTGTTGAGGATATGAGCAATGAAATTATACATTGGACCAATACACACAAATGGACACGTTGGATTAAGGTAACATACAGACACATGACTGTTAAATTGAATTTACTGCACCTCTATGATTTTTCTCATCTCCATGTATGTGAAGATACATTAAATGCGTCTCATTGACACTGACATCTCATTGACTGCTGATGCTATGTTTGAGAAGCATCTGGTCCAAATACAGTGGGATGAAACAGAGAACTGATATAGACTGTGAAAATTTAATTAATACCTGTACCCATTCCACTATGTTTTTAAATTTCATGTCAGACTTATGTTCATTTACCAAGAGCCATATGCATTCAAATGCAACTTAGGACTTTCTGGATTCTGTTGTGTTTTCTAAATGATTCAGATGCTGCAACGCAACTTAAACCCCTTTATATGACTGCATAGCTTGACAGACAAAACCAAATATGTCTGCATGTTGATGCTTTTTGTGATTAGGCTAAACTGGCCCTTTAATATTATTCATTCAAATTTGATGATTAACATGTTTGTGGTTGCTCTCTGACACCTGCTCCAGCTGTCAGTTGATGGCAAAATATACCCACATGACTGCATGGTGGCAGTACTGTGAAATCTATGCAGTCACATCAGTCTATTACAACAACTGCAGAAAATCACAAGCACATTCTACACCAGTACTTGCCAAATCATTACTCCTTAACCCTATTAGTTGTTACACCTTTACATTTTTATTTTTCACCCTCTGAAAAACTCTTGACAGCAAAATGTGATTTTATACTTGCCAGTTGCCCTGGGCCTGGTGATGGTAAGCCTATAATTAGCAACCATTACAACAGCAATAAGCAGTATTGGCAGAGCTTTTTATACTGGGGGCGTACAGCAAGAATGAAAATACAAATTGAGCAAAAGTTGCTTATGTCAAACTTGACTTAGGAGAATTTGCTGACACATCACAACTATCAGTTGTATTCCTGTGACAGTTTCACTGTTCAAGCTGATATGCAGCCTGAGAGTTTTACGGCATGAACTTGAATCCTTACAGCTGAGCTCAAGAATGGCATTTAGAAGACAGAATCTGCTGATTGAACTTAAATAAAGAAAAAAGAAAATCCAACTAGTCAGCAATTTGATGCACAAACCACAAAGAAAAGGTGAAGGTAAAGAATATTTGCATTTGATAAATGTCTAATTAAGGAAAGATGACATCTCGTGGTGACTATGTCCTAGTCAGTATGTACCTCATACAGGAACTACATGCATGAACCTGTTATTAAAGCTGTCAGAGCCAATCGTTAAGGAAACAAGATGGTACTGGCAGACAGATGGGAATTTATTACCTGAACAGTTGCTAAAGTACTGCACAGTTTTTGCCAAGTTTCTGGAGCTATAACTTCTGTTCTTAGTATATACCTAAACAAACAGACATGAGTGGTATTTTGACAGAAAGGACTTTTTTTTAAAACTGCTTTTCATGTGTTGGTATTCCATTGAAAAAGTAGGACAAAATGGAATGAATACATTACTGGTGAAGGGTTTCCACAGTTGACGTTTATCATGTGTCAATGTAAAATAACCCTTAGAAATGCTATCCAAACCCTCTTTCTATAAGTGGAAGTGTGCATTCAAGCCCAGAGTTATTCTGACCGCACTCACCTGGCGCTATGGCTTTAGGCATGGTGACGATCTTCCAGTAGAAACTCTCCCTGAGGACTGGTAAAGGGCGGCCAGCCACTGGACCACTGTAGTAGGGAAGTGTGGATCCCTGTACTTGGTCTGTGCAGTATTAAGCTCCCACTGTCTTATGTGTAACCAGAATCTGCTGTGTCCACATGGGACATGCTTGGATGGCAAATACGTATGTGTCCAAGTCTATTTTAAGTTGTGTGCCCATGGGCTCAGTGACAGGCAGAGTGGACAAAGAGACGAGTATGGGGGAGTGGGGAGACTGTGCTATATAACACCCTGATAGCTGCACTAGTTGATCTGCACATGGAAAAGGGGTGCTTAGATGGGTATTCATTGGCCTTTTCAGGTAGACTCACTATCAACTTTAATTGCAACAAGTGTCAGAATTATTATTGTAATGGCAATCCATCAAATACTGCTCAAAGCCACAAATGTCTGCTTTGTTGTGGTTACTGGTCAGTTGCATCCATTCAACATACAGTAAGTGGTTCAAATCCTTATTAAGAGCCATCATTCAGATACTATAAACATCTGTATCCAATGGAAAAAAAATACATCCAATTGTCGTTGATATATTTAGTCTAATGAGCCAACATCATTAAATATTAGCTTACTGCAGATACATATATTGGTCATTATAGACATGCCAATGATATGTCTGAGGGCAAATAAAAATTATAAAGTTTATATAGTTTGTCCACTGGAGAGAACTAGCAAGTATGTTTTTCAATGGATAAAAAGACTATGATACATTATTTGGCTTTTTTAAACTCTTAACTGCCCAGTAGAGGTTGGGCTGTGTATCTAGCTGTGTGGAAAGTTTTAATTTGCCCTTTTGTTTAATAACCCTTACTAAAACATGTCAATGGAGATGAACAGATTTTTATCTGTTCTCTTCACAACATTGAAAATATACATTTTAAAAACTATGTAGCAACATTTCTTTTCCTGAGGCGATGTCCTGGATACCCTGGCCAGTGCTAGTGCGTCACATACACCACAAAGAAAGCCCCTTTTACCTTTATTAAACTGGAGTAGAGTCAGATAAAACCCGAGCAAATAAAAGTGAAACTATTTTCATGGCAATTTATTACAAGAGGGAAGTAGAAAATTATGTATTTTATAACTTTAGGTAAACAGACCCTTTAAATAATACCTTTTTGGCAGCAAAAAAAAATCCCCATTGTCATTGTCTACATTTTTATTTTTACTTCTGTAACATTCTCCTGCTTCTCCGTACATCCCAAGACATTATACAGCATACAGACACTCAAAACAAGCCTTCTATTTTTAGGGAATGTAATCTTAAATGTCACCGACCCGCTTAGGGTGCAACTACTTAAAGAGATCAAGTTAAAAATGAACGGTCACAGTTCAGCCCTCAGAAATGAAAAGGCCAAAAAGGATTCTTAAAAGCTACTGTAACAAGGATTTTCCTCTCATGTTTTGGCTTCTGTGCTGTTTAGACTATTTGTTTCCAACACTTGTATAAAAAGAAGACATTCAGTTCATTTCCTGGCAGATCTATATTCAGCCGCTCATAATCTCACAGGCTTCATATTGAACAGCTCCTCTTTGTGTGCAAATTTTTCATGTGCCAAACTGTCACATGAATGTGAACCTGATGGGCACATTATTAAAGTCAAGTGGCAACAAATGCACAGGTCAACACCGAAAAGCTCTTCTTTGTTCATGGGCAGAAGACATAACCATTCCTCAGGACCATGAGAGATTATCAGCAGCTGGACATGTGATTTACATGAGTTAAAGTTTGCACATCTCCTATTACTCCGATCATCATCACCCAGACTGTCAGACTACCAAATTACAACAGGTGCTCTGCTGCGCTGCTTCTAGTCTGGGAGCTGTTTGGGTTGTGTTTGGCCATACAGACATTGTCCTGTGGTTTTCAATTTCTAATGAATGTCAAACATCATATGCAAAACATGAATCAAAGCTGTGAGAGAAACAAATCCAGAAGAATCACCCCCACTTACACATTTCCAATATATAAATAGGTCAAGTTAGTGTCAAATAATGTTTTGTTTGGTACGGACTGTTACTAGGGTCCTTCCATGGTGACTGTGCAAAGCAATCTGAAGCTTCTGCTTCTCCAGCAACCACACTGACAACTCACTGCAGCATAAAAGTACTGTATT